CTGGAGGTCAGGGGTCACTGGACTATCACCTGGAGGTCAGGGGTCACGCCTGTGCATCCCAGCAGACACACGCTCTGGTTTCAGTCACTTTTATTACAAAATGGATTTTATTTACAGAAAGAAACGTCACTGCAGACCAGCTGTTCTGGTTCTGGACAAAGAAGCTGCAGGTTTCTTGGGCCGGCTCAGGTGGGCTCAGGTGAAGGTGGGGGGGATCCTCCTCCACAGACCTCCACACAGACAGTTCTTGATCCAGCGCTGCTCCCACTGCTTCATGGCGTTGGTCTGATTGGGAGAACGAAGCATGGTCACACAGCCACACCTGAAGGGGGCGGAGTTTCACAGGTATCAGGGAAAATGTAAAATTCTGCATTAAATATAAACGTCACTTTGTTTTTTTATTTGCTTCTCTGATAAAAGAGGAAAATAAAACGAGACTTGGACTAAATTGTGTTTTATTCATAAATGTAATGCAAATGTTTTACTGAAGTACGATTTTATTTCTCTTAACATCCTTTCAGACATTGCCGTGTACATTTTCTCACACCAGCTAATTTATGTATTTGTTTAAATAATTAATATTTTATTTTGACAGACTTCCTGCCGCCTAGTAACGTTTTCCTTTGACAGAAGGGCGCTCAGCTCCCAGCACCCAGGTAACCACATGCACAAAGATTCTTGCTCACAGTTCAAATACCCAACCATAACTCCACCCACTCTGTCATCATGTGACCAGAAGTCCAACCTGAATGACCAATGAGGCACTCTCGAGGACCACCCCCCGACGTAGACTGAATTAATGTCAGTGAGCGTAGTTTGCGCCTCATGCACAGACCTGTTCATCTGCAGCGATGATGGAAAACGCACGGAGAATTTCTTATGATGCAGCTTTCAAGTTAAAATGATCGATCAGCTGTTGAAGGAAACAGCTGAGAGCGAGACGAGGCGGTGTGCCAAGATGCATTTCTGAGCCTCGGAGAGGACTTCAGTGCACGGGAAGAAGAACAACATAGCAATAAGTGACTTTTGGTGACTACCGGTACTTTGTGTTTTGCCGTGTTAAAGGCATTTTCAGAAAAACATTGTTAACGGATGTTCCTCTCCTTCGGGTCACGTGGCTCCGTTGAGCAGAAGTCGTCAAAATTTATATTTAAAGAAGTCAAGTCTGATACATATTTTAATAAAAGTTTTTAAATTCTTTCTGTGTGACATCAGTCTGTGTACGGTAAATATGTGTTTAAATACCGGTAGTCTCTCATTTAAGGTCACAACCGAACACGGAGTGGAGACAACGAACAGGAGAGGCTCTTGTGTTCAGTGATTATCCTGGTTAGGGATTCATGAGTCTAACAGCCTCAGGGTAGAAGCTGTTCTTCAGTCTAGTGGTTCTACACTTAATGCTCTGCAACTTCTGCCTGAGGGGAGCGGGGGGAGAGGGTCTTATAGCACGCTGAATTCAAAATCTGACTTCTAACCTACAAAGCTCTCAACAACCTAGCTCCATCTTATATTACAGATCTTATTGTTCCATATTTTTCTAACAGAGCACTTCTCTCTCAGGCTGCAGGTTTACTTGTGGTTCCTAGAGTTTCCAGCAGCAGAATGGGAGGAAGATCTTCCAGTTCTCAGGCTCCTCTCTTGTGGAACCAACTTCCAGTTTCTGTTCATGAGGCTGACACATTGTCCAGTTTAAGACTTTCCTTTTAGATAAATCCTATAGTTAGTGATAGTTTGGGTTTCCTGAGCTGTCCTTTAGTTGTGCTGCTATAGGCTTAGACTGCTGGAGGACAAACTGACCACAATTCAACCATGTTGTATAACAGTTAGCATGCTGTATACTATATGTGTGTATATATATATATATATATATATATATATATATATATACACATATACACACACACACACACACACAGGTCCTTCTCAAAAAATGAGCATATTGTGATAAAGGTCATTATTTTCCATAATGTAATGATAAAAATGAAACTTTCATATATTTCAGATTCATTGCACACCAACTGAAATATTTCAGGTCTTTAATTGTTTTAATACTGATGATTATGTCATACAGCTCATGAAAACCCAAAATGCCTGTCCCAAAAAATTAGCATATTTCATCCCACCAATGAAAGACAAGTGTTTTTAATACAAAAAACTCCAACCTTCAAATAATCATGTTCAGTTATGCACTCAATACTTGGTCAGGAATCCTTTTGCATGAATGTCTGCTTCAATGCTGCGTGGCATGGAGACAATCAGCCTGTGGCACTGCTGAGGTGTTATGGAGGCCCAGGATGCTTCGATAGCGGCCTTAAGCTCATCCAGAGTGTTGGGTCTTGTTCTCTCAACTTTCTCTTCACAATATCCCACAGGTTCTCTCTGGGGTTCAGGTCAGGAGAGTTGGCAGGCCAATTGAGCACAGTAATACCATGGTCAGTAAACCATTTACCAGTGGTTTTGGCACTGGGAGCAGGTGCCAGGTCGTGCTGAAAAATGAAATCTTCATCTCCATAAAGCTTTTCAGCAGATGGAAGCATGAAGTGCTCCAAAATCTCCTGATAGCTGCTGCATTGACCCTGCCCTTGATAAAACACAGTGGACCAACACCAGCAGATGACATGACACCCCAGACCATCACTGACTGTGGGTGCTTCACACTGGACTTCTGGCATTTTGGCATTTCCTTCTCCCCAGTCTTCCTCCAGACTCTGGCACCTTGATTTCAGAATGACATGCAAAATTTGCTTTCATCCTAAAAAAGTACTTTGGACCACTGAGCAACAGTCCAGTGCTGCTTCTCTGTAGCCCAGGTCAGGCGCTGCTGCCGCTGTTTCTGGTTCAAAAGTGGCTTGACCTGGGGAATGTGGCACCTGTAGCCCATTTCCTGCACACGCCTGTGCACGGTGGCTCTGGATGTTCTACTCCAGACTCAGTCCACTGCTTCCGCAGGTCCCCCAAGGTCTGGAATCGGCCCTTCTCCACAATCCTCCTCAGGGTCCGGTCACCTCTTCTCGTTGTGCAGCGTTTTCTGCCACACTTTTCCCTTCCCACAGACTTCCCACTGAGGTGCCTTGATACAGCAGTCTGGGAACAGCCTGTTCGTTCAGCAGTTTCTTTCTGTGTCTTACCCTCTTGCTTGAGGGTGTCAATGATGGCCTTCTGGACAGCAGTCAGGTCAGCAGTCTTACCCATGATTGTGGTTTTGAGTAATGAACAAGGCTGGGAGTTTTTAAAAGCCTCAGGAATCTTTTGCAGGTGTTTAGAGTTACGTCGTTGATTCAGATGGTTAGGTTAATAGTTGTTTAGAGAACCTTTTCATGATATGCTCATTTTTTGGGACAGGCATTTTGGGTTTTCATGAGCTGTATGCCATAATCATCAGTATTAAAACAATTAAAGACCTGAAATATTTCAGTTGGTGTGCAATGAATCTGAAATATATGCAAGTTTCATTTGGACTACTGTACTTAAGATTCTTGGGGGTGGACAAAGTTAAAAAATTTCAGCCAGTATATCGGTTATCAGCATTAGCATGCCCCGCCCAATATCGGTATCAACGATAGCCAAAATTTCTGTATCGGTCAGGTTTTAATAAAATCCCTTAAAGTTGTGGTTTTCTAAAACACTTGCCTTCATAAACATCAGTAACTGGATTCACTGGCTGTTAAGATGGAGGGGTTGTTTTGACCAAGGGGTGGAGTTGTAGCTTTACTAAAGGGGCGGAGCATCTATGTGGTGGGGGTTAGTTCCTAGAGGTACAGGGACGTTCACATCCTCTTCTTTAGTGTCTTGTTCCTTGTTGGCTGTTTGCTTTCTACCATACTGCTCATGTGCCAAACTGAGCGCTTCTGTTTACAAACGTGATCTTCCTGTTGCTGTTGTGACATCACTTCCTGTGGACTCACCTGGTGCAGGCTTTACTTTCCTCCGTAGGACTGACCCCCATGTGAACGCAGCGCAGGTTGTCCATCCTCTGAGCTCCAGGACTCCTGAAGGCAGACACACAAGTTCAGCTGCACCTCCACCACAGTCCAACATCAGAAGCTTGCCCCCCCTGATCGAAACTGGATCCTCCTGGCAAGAACCTGGTCCTCAAGACAGAAACCTGGAGGACACGACCGTCCTGGGCATCATCAAGGGAGGAGATGAGACGGCGTCCAGGGAGGTCAACAACAGAAAGGAGAACCAGCTCATCCTCAGCGTAGGAAAGATGAGGGAACTCATCGTCGACTTTCATAAGAAGGCCCTGCTGCAACACCACCCTCACCATCAGTGGGACTGAAGTGGAGGGAGGACAGCCACAAGGTCCTAGACCTTCACACCAGATCTGAGCTGGTCAGTGAGCACTGCAAGAAACCGCTCAAGAAGGCTGGACCAGACCATCGACCTCACACATTCATACAGAACTCTACTAGATCTATAATCAGAGTTTTATCACATTCAGACACTGATGGGACACACATCGGAGGCAACGAGGGGTTCAGTGTCTTGCCCAGAGACACTTCGGCATGTAACTGCTGGTGGATTCAAACCCCCAACTCTTGCATTGGAGGACGACTGCTCTAACCACTCAGCCACAGCCGCCCACAACAGAGGGCCGGTGGAGAGCAACTGCACCACTGGCAGTTCCCTAAAAGGAACCAGCCCCCCACCCACTACCAATAACAAGGTCTTCCTAGTCCTCCCATCAGGAACCCAGTCCTCCTGACTGAACCTGGTCCCCATGACAGACCAGGGGTCTTGTGTACAAAGGGTGCTATGCAACAAAACATGGCGACTGCACTTTTCCACACAGAGGTTCAGATGAGTCAGTCATGGAATCGTGGTGGAAACGAGTCCACACAGACTTCATGTCTCTGCAGGTTTTTGTCCATTGGGGACACCCATAGGACATACATGTGAAAACATTGGACACATCAGAGACACACAATGGACAGGCCTTGTTGTTGCTCTGACAGCACCTTTAGCCTCAACTCTGTTCCAATTCAGCACCTTCGTTCAGGAGCGCCCTGGACAACTTTACCTATTGAGCACCTCCAGGGGGGCGGAGCCTCCTGCTCCTGTTAATGATGAAGCTTTTCCAAACTGCAGCCTGAGCGGGTGTTTCCCCTGCAGCTTCACCATCACGCCATCGTTTACTGGGAGCCAGTCTATACTGGGAACCAGCAGCTGGCTGGGCAGGAGGCAGCACTCGTCTATCAGGCTCTCATCAGGATCCTGGGGGGGGGCGTCATCCCGCGCTGCAAGATAGGACATGGGGGCGGAGCATCAGCATGTGTGTTTTTATACACAGCCCTGAAGCTGCCTAAGCTGCATGAAGCAGCAGCAATCACAGAAACGCTGGCGTCAGACTGGACGCGATCAGAACCGGGTCCTTACAGCAGAGCCACAGCTTGGTGAGCAGCCGGAACAGCAGCTGCATGCTGTCCTGGGTGTCCGACGTGGCCGTGAAGGTGGGGAGGCAGCCGGGCTTCAGCAGGCCCCAGATTCTGATCATCACCAGCATCTCCCTCAGCATCCCCAAAGACGCCCCATCTCTCATAAACCCAAAACCGGGCCGGACCAGGGATCCCTGCAGGAGACACCAGAACACAAAAGAACCGAGGGAGGAGGTCAGACGTCAGGGACAAGTGACAGCACGTTAGTGAGATGTGAAGGCGAGACTTTTATTTTGAAAGTACTGCCCAGGTCCAGAGCGCGCAGAGTACGGCTCCAGAAATACAACATGGCAGCTCCCCAAAGAACGCTCACCTGGTTGGGCAGGTTGGCCAGCAGGTAGAGCACAAATTCTCCGACCCACTGGATGAGCTGCTGCAGGGACTGCAGGAGGGGTCCGTCCAGCACGAACTCCTCCGTCTTCAAGTTGAGCATCACCTTATCAATATCTGAGGACACACACGGAGGTCAGCCGGGCTCGTCACCTGGACACTCACCTGGTGGGCGGTCCCACCTGTGTCGGTGTTCTTGGCGCAGATCTCCATCAGCCGGTCGCCTGGACTCTTGTCAGGCGTGTGGAGGACGTGCGGCCGGAGCAGAGACTTTAAGGTGGAGCTGATGGAGATCAGGAGCAGCTTGGCGTGGAAGTCGCACGCTCGCGCCGCCGTCGCCGTGGAGAGCTTACAAAGAGACGCCTTGACGGCTACGATCCGAGTCGCCAGAACCTGAACGAGACGGCACGCAGAATCAAACATTTTCTGCGTCTGTTAAACACCGTGTTCTGGTCACAGCAACAGGATTTCCCAGCATGCTTTGCGGACCTGCTGCAGCGCCTGGTTCTGCCTCATGTACTCTTCGTGCAGCTTCTCCACCAGGTTGTGCACCATGCCGGGCTGCACGTGCAGCAGCACGTCCCACCAGTCGTAGCCGGTCACCATGCAGTACTCCAGCAGGAACAGCAGGTGGCGCAGCGTCGTGTTCATGTCCAGAACCTGACCCATGGAGGGCGACACCCGCAGCATGTGCAGCTGAGGAGCAAACAGGAAGTGAGTGTCATCATCAAATTTAACAGCTCGGTGTTTTAACTCGTTTTGTGGCTGGATTTAAGTCGGCCGTGCTGCCTCACCTTGCCATGGTTGTCAACTCCAGCGAGAGCCAGTGAGGTCCAGGAGAACTGCAGGGCCTTGAAGTGAAGGGCGGGGCCTGCGGTCCGCTGGCGTTTGACGCTGGCCTCGTCTCCAGGCCGCTGAGTGGAGGAGGCGGAGCCGTGGAAAACCCCCATGGTGTGAAGGGAGAGGCGGTGCAGGATCTGAATGCTGCCGTCATGAAAGGCCAGAGCAAGACCTTAGACCCAGAACACAGAGGGCCAGTCAGAACCGATTGTAACCTGGACCGCATTATGTTCTGGAGGTTCTGCTGAATTATGTCAGGGTCAGTGGACTATCAGCGCCGCGTTACACAGGAACTATATTCTCAGGCGTTACAAGCACATCTACTGAGTTGATTTGGGTTCTGCTTACCGAGTCCGGGACAGAACTTGGTGTCTGATGCCACCTTCAGGTCCGTGTTGGAGATGGAGATGGGCAGTTTGGGCAGAGCGAGCGCAGAAACTCGCTCCAAATCGCTGGTCGTCGTCAGGATCCTCCACTTCAGGATGGTCGGCTGCTTCTCCCCGACTGCACACAGAAGGTCAAAGGTCACGGTGGGTCAGAGACCAGCTGAACCAGACCAGCTGTATTTCTTACCGACAGGTGACCGATGCTGGAAGATGTTGTTGACAGGAAGTCCCTCCTTCCTCAGAGACCAGCACTCCACGATGCTGCCGCTCTGATTGGACGCACACAGGAGCACCTGAAACACAGCTGGCCAATCAAAACCCGCCTCTTCTTCATACCAACAGTGCCAGCGGTACCACTCACCTGCTCAGAGTTTTCACGGGTCAGAAACTTCAGGTGGGTGACAGCAGGGTACTTGTCTCTCCGGATCGGGTCGGTGGTGCACCGCAGAAACAGCGAGGGCAGCAGTTCGGTGTCGATGCGACACTTTTCACTTACTACACTCACGACCACCTGAACACATGACCAAACTGTTTATTACACCTACAACCACCTGAACACACGACCAAACTGTTTATTACACCTACAACCACCTGAACACACAACCAAAC